GAGAAAACTTGTGGGTTGAGATAAGAACAGTTTAATAATTGAAATAAAATATAATAATAATAATAATAATAATAATAATAATAATAGAATATACAAAGCAAGTGATGCACAATGCAATTGCTCACCACCCACCGACCGATACCCAGCCAGTCCTCAAGCAGCGGCCCTCCCCGGCCAGCTTTCCCCCAGCTTATATACTGAGCATGACGTCACATGGTATGGAATGTCCCTTTGGCCAGTTTGGGTCAGCTGTCCTGGCTGTGCCCCCTCCCGGCTTCTTGTGCACCTCCAGCCTTCTCAGTCGGTAGAGCATGGGGAGCTGAAAAGTCCTTGACTAGTGTAAGCACTGCTCAGCAACAACTAAAACATCGGTGTGTTATCAACATTCTCATACTAAACCCAAAACACAGCACTGTACCAGCTACTAGGAATGAAATTAACTCTGTCCCAGCCGAAACCAGGACACAGATATACTCTTGCTACATTGACTTTAATGGAAATTTTGCCACTGACTTCACTGTAAACAAGATATTACCCTACTTGTTCATGAATCTATTAATCCAGTCTTGCTAATAAAATGAAGTTTCACATACAAGAATATCATGTAAGTACTCTATGTAAGTGAGCTGCAAGCACATTTCTTGTCACATAAAACAATGCCGTTCTGTTTCTTCAAGCTCTTTTCAATCACCTTTTGGAAATAATGGCAATTAGAACTTTCAAAAAATATTACTCACTGCATGCTTCCTAATAAGGGCTTCCTCTGGCTGTATGGCAGCATGGAATCGTTCTGTTATTGTTCAAAACTGGGGCACACAGTTGTCTCTTTTTTTTTGCTGTCTGTCTGTTTTTGGCTTGGCCTCTCCATGATCTTGTGGATGGAAGTTACAAAGGAGACAGAAACAGATAATGAGTAATTCCACTGAAACACCTAATAAAGGTGGGGAAGAGGGGAAATAAAACTACAGGTTTGGCCAATTTATACCAAAAATCTCCTTATAGTAGAATTTCTCAATGAGAGAACACAGTACTATAATTTCACTTCTACGTTAACTGCCTCCATGTAAAATTTACATTATTACAGCTGAAATATCGGTGTTGCAGTTTCTTACATGTTTGGCCTACACCTACAAAACTGTTGGTGCTAGTGCAATGGGCAATTTTATTATAATACTAATCTTATAGAGCAGCAGTGTAAGTCTCTCAGCCTGTGGAAATGATGGAACTGGGAAAAATAGAAGCGGCTGCAAAAGCAATACATGTACTGCATTTCAGAGTGCTATTTGTCACTCCATTTCTGTGCAGACCTATGAGATAAAGGGTAACCACCCCTGAGCAGACCACTTCACACAAGTACAGCCCCCAGAGGCTGAAGCACTGGAGGCACAGCCCACTGGAAGGGCAAAGACAGAGGCTGTGGGACAGACTCACAGGCAGGATGCTGTAGGCTGAGGAACCTCCATTCCAGAGAGCCAGTCAGCAGCCTGAAACTCCTTGTAACCAGAGCTTGATGCTGAGCTTACCATCAGAAAGTCTAGCTGCCCTGAAATTCTGTTTGGATCCTGATAAAAGAGAGGAACCAGAGGTGAAAGTACTGGAATGGGTTGGGCTCACAGTCTGTGGCTTTAAGCTTGAGATTGCTCTCAATGGCATAAACAATGCCAAACTCAATAAGCAACCAGGGCATCTATGAGTTTCTAGTTTCTTGGAAATACTTTGCTTTTCAAATAGCACCCAACAGAAACCAGGCTTCCAACTCCTTCATTAAGTTCTTATACTGTCTAATACACCAACCACAAAGTGATCTACAGTTCTAAAAACGTCATGCTCTCTCAGTTGAATATAAGTATTTTTTTCACATCGTTACTTTTAAAAATAATTTCTATTACATTAATACAGTAGGAAAAAGTAATAGTTTACCTCGCAAAAAATAGCGTACAATATGTGTTGAAGACACAAAGACAAACAATTACCTTTATATTAGAAGTTTTTATGCGGTTTCTTATCAGACTTTGAACTTACCCACATAACAATCACTGTGTGACACAATGTACAGATCATGTTCTTCTCTGGATTCTTTATCCACTTCCTCAAAAGTTTTTGGTGGATTTATAAGCTCTCCAGCTGACACATCTGGAAAGTAAGGAATCAATATATGTTTGGGGAGGTAAGGGGGATGGGTGTTTTGTTCAGTTGATTCTTAAACAATATCTTGTTAGAGAAGATGCTAATACTATGGAAGAACGATACTTCTTACCACATTTCTAGTCAATCTATAGGAATCTTACAGCATAACGACATGGGACTAGGGAAAAAAAAAAATCACAGAAACCAAGATGAACATAACTGTTGCAAGAGAGCTAAATGGTAAACACATAAGTGATTTGCTCCAGCCTGTGGAGGAAAGATTCACAGGTCAAGGTAGTATCTTTTATTAGACCTATTAGAATAGCTGGGAAAAGGAAGGTAAGTTGTCAGCTACTTGAACAGTTCTCCAGGGAAATCTACAAAGACAGATCTGGAACAGTCAAAACAATAGGTTTTACCACTGTAATCAGTAAAGAAGAAAGCAGCAAAATTTGTGGGTAGAAGACTGTTCATTAACTTAAATGTTGAAATGAAATGAGTAACTTTTGCAATGACTACTGAATTAAGTCACTGGTAAGATAAAAGTCACTGAACTTCAAGTGTTTCCCTATTTGAACCATGCTAATTAAGTCCTACGAATTGACCTCAGAATTCAGATAATCCACAACAGCAGCGAAATGCTGCAGTGTAACTCATTCGGCTATGTACCTTTATCCCTGTCTATGAAGAAACCAGTTGCTCTTAGTAAGGACATTCTTAAGCGGTCCATTCTTAAACAAAAGTAAACGGGTCACATTCTTACACTGAGTGAAGAACCTGACTCTATGCCATGTGTCAAGTGAGCTGCAATGTCAGGATCATCTGCTCTGCTGTAGAATATTCTTTCAACACCAGGAGCTGGATTGTTGTATTTTGAAACTTTCGCACAGTGGTTGGAGTAATAGGCTATATATAAGACAAAGCAAAAACAATTTTACACCAGATATTCACAAAATATTAACGAAAAGAAAATGTACTGCAGCCATTTCAGTGTGATTCCACAGAGGTAAGAACAAAACATTAAGATGTTTTAGGGCTGTAACACATGCATACGCTTCTGCAGATGCTGATACTCTGAGCATAAGGTCAACATAGCCCAGCCTAAATTTTATCAAACCAGCAAGAGAACTAACGAGAGAGTTGCTACGTTTCAACTATCTGGTTCTATCTTTAAGATGGATAACAGCTTCTTCACGTATACTTCATGAAAAGGAGATATTACATTTATCAACTTCAGAAACCTTTAACCTGATTCACAACAATTCCACCATCAATGAAGCAATTTCAGAAATTATTTTAACCACAGTTTTGGGGTTTTTTTAATTACCCATTTAAAGGGAGAGCTGCTATTTAAGGGATCCTTTTGTGTCTCAGTACCCTCTGACTCTTCAGGGGCATGGGGAAAGGCCAGTGGGAAGCAAAATTCTGAGAGACATCCTTGATAAAGAAGAAGGACCTCCATCAGAAGAAACAATATTTACTAATAATAATCACTATAATTGTATTACCGGAGAAAAACTGTCTAAAACAATTCTATGTAGTCCCCTCTAAGCAGGCATGGAGAATTTTGTAAAACATACAGAATGAAAAAGAACTGCCAGACGTGTTTTACAATCCTACCAGCTATTCTCTATGATCCCATGTGACAAAAACTAACATCAGAAAAAAAATAGTAGTTTCTAATAAGACGGGATGTAGAAAAAATGACCAAGGTTTCACTGATTTTCTTTTTTTTTTTTTTTTTTAAGGCCTGTCTCAAAGCACAGTCACTAATGCGAAATTACGACAGAAGTTTCACAAGGAGCATCTGAAAAACCAACCCACCCTGGGTAAAACCTCAGCGAGGCAACTTGCAGCTGTATCGCCAGTGGGAAGCAACTTTCCAGCCTAAACAATGCAATCAAAAAATAAGGCATAACCGAACCCATTGTACTAATAAGCACAACTAGTCAAATTGGGACCTGACACCTTGCATGAGATGTTGCCTAATTGTCCCCGTTTTGATAAAAGGGGGGAAAAAAGAAGCAACATGCATTTTTGCGGGGAGAGCGGGGCAACGCAGCGAGATGCGCCTGCCTGCCCCACACGCTGCCCCTCCTCCAGCCTCTTCCCTCAGCCCACGGCGAGACCCCGGCCCCAAAAAGGCGCAG